GCCGTGTTCTAGCTTGTACAGTCGCTCGGTCTTCTTTGTTTAAGCGTATCAGAGATCGGCAGTATGACGACCCTCATTTTCTTATCCTTAGGGACACAGTGCAGCACGGTGTTGCCAAGCAGGTTACTGTTGGAGATGATGGAGTTTTGAGGATGCAGGGTCGTGTTTGTGTGCCTAATGTGGATGGACTTTGTGAGTTGATTCTTGAGAAGGCCCGCAGTTCCTGGTATTCTATTCATTCGGGCACCGAAAAGATGTATCAGGACTTGCGGCAGCATTATTGATGGAGGAGAATGAAGAAAGATATAGTTGCATATGTGTCTCCGTCTGATTTGTCAGCAAGTAAAGTGTGAGCATCAGAGACCTAGAGGTTTGCTTCAGAAGTTAGAGATTCATGAGTGGAAGTGGGAGCGTATCACTATGGATTTCGTTGTTAGGCTCCCACGGACTCAGAGGAAGTTCGATGCAGTATGGGTTATTGTTGATAGATTGACTAAGTCAGCGCATTTCATTCCTGTAGCAGTTTCCTATTCCTCGGAGCGGTTAGCTGCGATCTATATCCAGGAGATTGTTCGCCTTCATGGTGTGCCCATGTCTATCATTTCGGACCGAGGTACGCAATTTACCTCACATTTCTGGAGGGAAGTACAACGTGAGTTGGGTACGCGGGTCGAGTTGAGCACCGCATTTCATCCTCAGACGGACGGATAGTCCGAGCGTACTATTCAGATTTTGGAGGATATGCTTCACGCCTGTGTTATTGACTTTGGAGGCTCTTAGGATCAGTTCTTGCCATTAGCGGAGTTTGCCTACAACAACAGCCATCAATCGAGCATCCAGATGGCCCCTTATGATGCATTGTATGGTAGACGGTGTCGATCGCCAGTCGGGTGGTTTGAGTCGGGGGAGGCTCGATTGTTGGGTACGAATTTAGTACAGGATGCATTAAGATCATTCAAGATAGGCCTCGTACAGCTCAGTCTAGGCAAAAGATTTGTTCCGACTGTAAGGTTCGTGATGTGGCATTCATGGTCGGAGAGCGAGTGTTGCTTCGGGTGTCGCCCATGAAGGGCGTGATGAGATTTGGGAAGAAGGGCAAGCTAAGCCCTAGGTTCATCAGGCCTTTTGAGATCCTTGATCGAGTGGGAGAGGTGGCTTACAGACTTGCGTTGCCACCGGGTTTATCAGATGTGCATTAAGTGTTTCATGTGTCCATGCTTCAGAAGTATCACGGAGATCCATCCCACGTGTTACACTTCAGCACTGTCCAGTTGGACAGCGATTTGACCTATGAGGAGGAGCCGGTAGCTATCCTAGACCGGCAGGTTTGTCAGTTAAGATCGAATAGTTACCCTTGGGTTCGTGTTTAGTGGAGAGGTCAGCCTGTGGACGCAGCTACCTGAGAGTCCGAGTCCGATATGCGGAGCCGATATCCCCATCTTTTCACCGACTCAGGTGTTATTCTATGTCCGTTCGAGGACGAACAATTGTTTTAGAGGTGGAGAATGTGATGACCCAAGGGGTCATCTTTTGTTTTAGAACCCGAATCCAGGTTCCGAGTCCTTGAAAACCTCATTTTCTTTCTCCTCGATTTGCGTGCGCAGTCCGGGCGCGATTCCGGAAAGCCTTTATGTGAAATCTAAGAAAATTATTGAATTTTGCCTTTTAAATTGATTAAAGTTGACATCGGTCAAAATTTTTGGTAAATGAACCCGGACCCGTGATTTGACGGTCCCGTAGGGTCCGTAGTAAAATAAGGGACTTGGGTATATGCCTGAAATCGAATTCCAAGGTCCCTAGCCCGAAAAATGTATTTTTGAAGAAAATTGTTTGTTGGAAAATATAAGGATTTTTAGAAATGGAATAGTGTGTGATCTCGTTGGTATCGGGCCCGTATTTTGGTTCCGAAGCCCCGTACAGGTCTGATATGGTATTTAAGTCATATATGTAAAGTTTGGTGAGAATCGGAAGTGATTTGATGTAATTCGGACCCTTGGTTGAGAAAATAGAAATTTTGAACTACCTTGAGAATTTCATGAGTTTTGGTATTAAATTTGTTGTTTAAGATGTTATTTTGGCGATTTGATCGCACGAGCAAGTCCATATGATATTTTTAGACTTGTGTGCATGTTCGGTTTGGAGCCCTGAGGGCTCGGGTGAGTTTTTGATAGGCCACGGGGTGTTTTGGACTTAGGAAAAATATTGCTGGTATGCTTCAGCTGTTGCAGGCCTCTGATCTCGCAATTGCGAGATCAGGCTTCGCAAGTGCGAGCTTCACAGGCTTGGCAATTGCGAGCCTTTCATCGCAAATACGATCAAAAGGCTGGGCCAGCTTCGCATTTGCGAAGTCAACATGGAGGGTCAACCTTCGCAATTGCAACAAATTGTTCGCAATTGCGACAGTAGCAGACATGAAGCAGATTCGCATTTGCGAAGCCTATCTCGCATTTTTGGAGCTTCGCAATTGCGAAGCTCCTGTCGCAAATGCGACATCTGCAACTGATCAAAACATCACTTAGATGGAATTTTGAACTCATTACTCAAATTTTCAAACCCTAAGCTCCCATAGGCGATTTTATAAAGGAGAGTTCTTCCCCAAATCATAGGTCTCATTTCTTCAATCTATTTCATCTTTTTACATGATTTCATCTCAAAATCTAGGGTTTTTCATGGGAAATTGGGTGTTCTTGGGTAGAATTTAGGAATTTTGAATTTGGGGGATTTGGACCTCAATTTGAGGTCGGATTCCGAAACCAATTGTATATCCGGACTCGAGGGTGAATGGGTAATCGGGTTTTGGTCCGAACGTCGGGTTTTGACCAAGCGGGCCCGGGGTCGATTTTTGACTTTTGGGGAAAATGTTGGGAAATCTATAATTGTGTATTGGAATTGGTTTCTTTAGCATTTATTGATGTTATTAAGTTATTTATGGCTAGCTGCGAGTGTATTTGTTGGTGGAATCGAGAGGTAAAACGGTGGTTGAGCTTTGAGATACCCGTTGGCTTAAGGTAAGTATTTGGTCTAACGTTGACTTGAGGGATTAGGGATCCCCGACTTGCTTGCTATGTGAGATATCATGTGTGTGGCGTATAGGTGTGGTGACGAGTACCTATGCGTCGCCAAATTACTTGTTTAGCCTGTTTCCTTTCCCTGTTTCCTTATATCTTGCTTTCTTGCCTTAATTGTTACTTGCTTATAAATGTTTCCATGTCTAGTTGCTTCATATTAACTGTTGTTCTCTTTATTGAATTATTTAATTGTTTCATGTTAACTGTTGATGTTCCCGTTGAAGTATTATCTGTTTTGTAGTTCCCTTTTATTACCCTGTTGGCTTATATTGATTTATTAGTGCCTTATGTTGCACCTTGGTTGGTCTCGCTGAGTAGTTTTCACTGGTGAAGTTTCATAATCGTAGTGATATTCCATTGTGTGGATTGAGGTATAGATAATGTGGGGGATTTGAGTTATCTCTTGTGAATCACTTGTCTTTATTCTTTTGTGATTGGTGCTGATATATATATATATATTGGGAACGGGTTACACACTGCAACAGGAGGAATAAGGGTGAAATGTGATTGTCTGGTGGATCGGGTTGCACGCCGGAACAAAGAGTAATAAGGGTGGACAGGTGGGATCGGGTTGCGCGCCGCAACAGGTGGAATAAGGGTGATATGTGTTGAGGAGTAATAAGGGTGGACATGTGGGATCGGGTTGCACGCCGCAACAAGGAGGAATAAGGGTGAATAGTGATACTGTTGTTGTATATATGATGGGATCGAGATGCACGCCGCATCAGTTGTTGTTGTAAGTATTCATTTCTGCTGAAATTCATTACTAAGATGTTGAAACTCCCTAAGGATTTGTTATAGCTGATTATTGGTAGAACGGCTGGTTTCCGTATTCATTAATGCTAGTTTCTGTTATATTACATTCTGTATTTCCTTTTTGTTTAGTATAAACTGTTGCAGGTTTTATATGTTGTATGCCCCGCCGTAGCCTCGTCACTACTTCGTCGAGGTTAGGCTCGACACTTACCAGTACATGGGTCGGTTGTACTGATACTGCACTTTGCACTTTCTGTGCAGATTTTGGAGCTAGTGGTTGATCGTGAGGTTGGTTGCTATCACTGCTTCCCGGAGACCCAAGGTAGTCTTGCAGGTGTCCGCAGGCCTTGGCGTCCCGTTCTATCCTATTTCATTTCTGTTTTATCTACTTTTGAGACAGATGTAAACTTTTCGTTCAGACCATTATTTGTAGTATTCGTAGATTGTTCGTGAGTTGTGACACCAGTTTCTGGGTGGAATTTATTACGGTTTTCATTGTTAGAATAAAGATAATCTTTTAAACTGTGTTCTTCCGCATTTATTTCTGCTGATTTATTTTCTTTAAGTTTTAATTATTAAAAGTTAAAAGAAAAAGGTGAGATATACTGTAACATTAGCTTTCTTAGCGAGTACAATGTTAGGCGCCATCACGGTCCCGATGGTGGGAAATTCGGACCGTGACACCTTCTAGTATACTTAAGGGCATTCTCCTTTTCTCTGAAGGATAACGTGAAGCACTGGCTTTGTAGCTTAACAACGGGGTCGATCAGGATATGGAAAGATATGACTAGAAAGTTTCTTGACAAATACTTCTCAACTGCAAAAACAGTGAAGTTCAAAAGGGAAATTCACAACTTCTACTAGACGGACTCCAAAACAGTTTTAGAGGCTTGGGAAAAATTCAAGAAGATAATGAGGAAGTGTCAGCATAATGGGATTGAATTGTGGATGCAACTCCAGGACTTTTTGGACAGACTTACACCTCCCTCACGACGAACTCTGAACACTGTAGTTGGAGGTCCTTTAATGAATAAGATTCCTGAGGAGATTGTGGCAATATTTGATGAGCTCTCTGAAGATGCTAACTAGTGGCCTGCTGAGAGTAATGATAGAAGAAAATCAGTTGGGGTTCACCAAGTAGATTATAACACAGCAGTGTAAGCCTAACTATAAGCCATGGCCAAAGAGATAAGAAAGCTGACCTTAGCCAAGGTCCAGAGCCAATCATCACCAGTTTATGATTTCTGTGGAACAGGTCATCCATTGCATGAGTGTCAGGCCTTAGCTGCAGATGAAGTGGTAAATGTTGTGGGAAACTTTGACAGGGGAAACTACCAGGGTGGTAATAATTTCAATCTTATAAGATAGAGGCACCCAGGGAAGATAACTCTAGACCGTAGGGACAAGGAGTTCCAAGATTTCAAAATCAGCAGATGCAGCAATATTAGCCTCCACAGTCTAATCAGTCTAGCATGTAAGATATAATGAATGTCTTCATTATCAAGATAGATGAGAGGTTTGACGCCCACGAATCAACTATCAAAGAACCGGGCACATCTTTTCGGAACCTGGAGAGACAGGTTGGGCAACTTGCTACTCTATTATCTAAGAGGGTTCCAGGAGCGCTCCCTGCTGATACTAAAAGAAATCCAAAAGAAACAATAAATGCAGTGTCTTTGAGGAGTGGGCACGAATTGTAAAATCCCATAGCAAAGCAAAAGGATGAGCCAATTGAAAGACATGCAGAGATTGTGGAAGAGCATAAAAATGATGACATTCAAAAAGGTGCAGGGATGGTAGAGGATGATCTCAAGAAGAAAGGGAAGATTAGAGGTCAGAAAAAGATGAAAAATGATAACTCAACAAATAATGAGACTAAACAGAGCAAATACATGCCAGCTCTACCTTTTCCCCACAATAAGAGAGAAGTTGGAAAAACAATTCGAGCGCTTTCTAGAAGTGTTCAAGCAATTGCATGTGAATATACCTTTCACAAAGGTACTTTTGCAGATGCCAGCTTCTGCTAAAGTCATGAAGGAGATATTGTCCAATAAAAGGAAAGTGGAAGAGACATCGGTTGTCAAGCTGACAGAGCATTGTAGTGCCGTCTTGAAAAATAAGCTCCCTAAAAAATATGGAGGTCCAAGGAGTTTTACTATATCTTACTCTTTAGGAAGTACTAAATTTCAAAAATCTTTGTGTGATTCAGGTGCTTCTATTAATCTTATGCCTTTGTGTATTTTCAGGAAATTAGAGGGAGAGATTGGAGAAATCAAGTCAATAACTGTGTCCTTGCAGCTGGCAGATCAGACCATAATCATACCTGAAGGAATAGTGGAAGATGTGTTGGTTTGGGTAGACAAATTTGTGTTCCCTGTGGACTTCATTGTGTTCAACATGGAGGAGAATAGGGAGGTCCCTCAAATTTTAGGAAGACCCTTCTTGGCTACGAGCAGAACAATTCTTGATATTCAGGAAAGGCAGCTCATGCTCAGAGTGGGGGATGAAAAGCTGGTCTTCAAAATGGAAGGAGAAAGGGGGCCCTGAAAGAACAAATTAGAAAGAATGAAGCTGATAAGTGTGGGGTGTACCCAAAGAAGGCGGACAAGAAGCTCTTAGCATGGATGTGTGCACTGGGCCGGGCATGCAAAGGAGATCCTGACTTTGAATCAAACCCCAGCTAGATGAATCATGGAAGTTTCCTTTACCTCTTACTCTTTATATGTGTGTCATGGGGACATGCCGCAATTTAAAGTGTGAGGTTGGGAATTTATATATGTATATGTGTGTTTGTAATCATTTTTTTTATTGAAGAAAAAAATTATGACTTTTTCCGACGATGGATTTCCTCGGCTGTGTTCTTGAGGGATTAAAGTCGAAGAAGAAAAAAAACTTTAGTCGTTTATTCGTGTTTTACTTTCTTAGGTAATGTAACAATTCCCCCTTGGTTTTTCATTGTGCCGTGGTTCTTTTCCAAGGGTTTTTGTTGAACTGAGTGTAGTTAGTTTTTCTTTAAGTAGGAGTAGTGAAGTCTTGTGCTATGTTTTGAATGGAGATGACTTTCCTTGACTTTGTTGTGCCTTGAGAGCAGTGAGTGTCGTATTTGTGACTCCTAGGCTCAGTTCTTGACTCTTAAATATGTACCTTAAATTGTGTGATTGTAACTTTGCTTAACTGCTTTGATTAGAGAGTCGAGATATATCCGATCCTAAGTGAGTTATGTGCCAAGGTGTGTGTGAGGTTTTTGTGATATTCTGTGCATGTGATGTCTAGAACTTGCTCCGTGTGTTTGCAAAGTGAAATAGTAGTCTTGTTCAGTCTATGAAGTAATATAGGCATTTCTTTATTGAGCCGGATATGTGTTTACCCACCTAATTGTGATGTATCTAAGTTAGCCCCGTTGAGCCTGTAATCCTATTTTTTTGGCAACCACACTACAAGGTTGACCCCTTTGTTTGAATTATCTATCTGTTTGAACCTTTTACCTCTCGTGAGCACTTGATTTTGTTATGAGCTTGTAAAAGCTAAGTGAGGTATGGTCAGATTTTTGAGTGGAACTGTAGAAAAAGGAGAAAGGTGCATTATTCGAAAAATAATGAGAGCCACGTGCACAGAATTGAAAAAAAGAAGAAGAAGTGGTTTGCTTCAAAAGAAAAAAATAGAACTTAGAAAAGAAAAAAATGGATTCCATGCTAGTGGTAGTTCTCATTTTGTTTGTGCTTAATGATATTGGGAGCTTGATGCTATTATGTATGAATGTTGAGGTTTGGTCCAAAATAAGTGTGGGGTTTAATGTGTTAATGTACATGTATTAAAGTGCTCAGGGAGGTGTAGTCACTATATCCAAATCTATCCTACCCATCCCGCAACCTACATTACAACCAAATTAAGTCCTGCTTGATCTTTTGACTGAATGAGCTCAATTAGTATAATATTACACTACAGGCAAGCCTATGGTACGTCCTCTGTGGCATATGAATCTTAATTCTGAGAGTGAGTGAATTATTTCTATCTTGAGTTCCTAATTGTTCTTGAATTTTATTATGTGTGGAACTACTTTCTATTGTTTGTATGAGGGCACATGATTTGCGAAGATAAGGTGAAATCTTTGACCTTGTGTTAGAGTAAGTGAGCATGTTGTGAAAAATGTGTGGTGCTCTTGAGTCGAATCTTAAGGCTAGAATGTTATGATATGGTGCTTAGTCTGCTTTAAATATTCTTGGCATGATGTGTTAGGGAAGTTATCTGATAATAAGGTCGTCTCTATGTGAAGTACAGTTTGATTGCTCGAGGACGAGCAATGGTTTAAGTGTGGGGTATTTATGGTAGTCTAGAATCATGTGTTTTAATTATAGTTTGCACTTTAATTACTGTATTTTCCTTGTATTTGTTCTTAAATATTCGTGTATTGCACTTATGATGTGTTTTATGCCTTGTAGGAAGTGATTTTGAGTTAAAGAGATCTTCGAGAGCTAAATTGAACAAGTTGGAGCTTTGAAGTCTGAGTAAAAGCCCAAGGGATGTCAAAATGCGAAGGAAACAAATTAATCTGTAAAATATTCACTACCGCGCCGCCCCAGTGTATTTCTGCTGCTTCCCGACAAAACATGCTCTCTGAACTTTCCCACTAGCGCCCCACATAGGGAGGCGCAAGGCGCGGTGCGCCTGTGAAATTTTCTCAGAGTATTTGTCCTGTTTTGGCAAGAAAAAGGTAATTTTGCCTGGGCCCACTCCTACAGGGTATAAGTACACCAAAAAGATGAAGGAACTTTTGACCTTGAAAGCTTTGGGAGAGCATTGGAAGCTATAAGACACGAGATTTCATCATCTTTCCATCGATTCAATACGAGAGTTTGGATTGTAAAGTTAGATTGATGTTTTCTTATTCTTTAATTATATTTGTGATGACTTCCTCCATGATTATGGAGTAGTTTACCTTAGGGTTTCACGGATATGATGTTCTGATAATTATTTGTGGACTTTAAATCTAGTTCTTGATTGAATTCATTTATGGAGTTTTGAATTGTTGCAACTTTATTCATCTGTTTATTTAATCGAAAGAGGAATATCTTGGTGATTATCTTTGCATTATTTATTTAATTTAATTCATTGATTCTCTTAAGTAATCGAAATATCTTGTTGAATTGTTGATTAAATCAAGTTGGGAGAATATTCGAGAGACATTTTCCTAAGGACCAATCCATTAATGCATGCTTGCATACTTCATAGTGCTTATATTAGTTCATCTCGTAGAGTTAAGATTTAATCAAGAGAGGAGTCTTTACTACACGTTTAAACTAATCATCGAGTGAATCTGTGAGAATCATTATAACAATAGAGTGAATTAAATTAGAGTTAAGTCCCAAATAGCTATCTTGCACCTATACTGTCAACCCGTATTCCTCACATCGATAAGAAACCAACTCTGCAATCTCCAATTCCTTGATGTCAATTGTCAATTGATTTATTTTAGTAGTTAGACTTAGTTCATAATCAATTAATTCAAGTTTTGAACCTCGTGAATAGCAATTAACCAAAAATTACTCGAACATTGTTTAAATATAATCCCCGTGGAGATGATATTATACTATACTTCTTTGATTAGCGAGCATCAATTTCGTGTTGTGTTTTGCACTCGCCTCTCTTAAGTTATTAAATCTTCATTCTTTCAAAAGAGTATTTGAATCACACTTAAACACTTCATATTACTTTTAAATTTTGCACACAAGTTCAATTCAACTATATAGACCGATCCAAAGTCTCGGAACACCAATTAGAGTCCAAATCATCAAAGTCAACTCTTGGTCAAACTTATGAACTCTTAAGTTCTTCAAATTGCCAATCTTTGAAAAATAGTGTTGAATCCTTCTAGGAACCTCCAAAACCGAATCCGATATACGCACAAGTCCAACATCATCATGCGAACCTATCGGAACCATAAAAACTCGATTCCAAGTCCGTTTACTCAAAAGTCAAACCTTGGTCAACTCTTCCAACTTAAAGTTTCCAAATCGAGAGTCATTCTTCCGGATCAATCTTGAATCACTCGAAAATTAAGAACGACTACACACGTAGGTTATAATACATCATATGGATATACTTAAAGTCTCAAACCACGGAATAAAACACTAAATCTAAAAACGACCGATCGGGTCGTTATAGGAGGATAAATCACTCTTACCCAAATGTATCCTACCCTTCCCTTAGACTACATTACATCCCATAAAATCCTAAATAATCCTAGATTTATCAGGCTTAGATTAGTCGACTCCTTCACTACAGGCAAGCCTGATACGACCTTGGGGTGCATATGAATTTTTTTTTTTTTTGTGAGAGCGAGTGAATTGTAGTTCTTGTGTAAGAGTCCTTAAATGACATTTGATCTTTTGAATTGAATATTTGGACTATTTCTTCTCTTGTTTACTGGTGAGGGCACATGATCTCATGATGGATATGTGGATTTATTAAACTTCTCTTGTTGGGGTGAGTGTGCTAACTAATAGTACTTAGTGACAACGAGTCGCCCTTTGAGGTGATGTGGTTATGGGTAGGTTGTGTGAATGCTTTAAAATGTTTTACCTATGCTTTGGCATGCGAAGATTGACCCATGCTTAATTGCTGGTATCAACCATAGTCATATGTATAGTGTGCTTAGTTCATATATGTTCCCTCGTGATGTTGTATCTTGAGTTGTGTGGTTGAGGTAGTAAAATTTAGGTTGCTAGAGAACGAGCAAGAGTCTAAGTGTGGGGTGTTGATGTTTAACCAAAAGTATGTATTCTTATATATGAATCGCCACACATTTTGCTCTATTCTTGTTGGATCTAATGTGTAGGTGCGATGAGTTAAGCTAAGTTTTGTGTTTATATGTGTAAGAATCAATTGGGAGTGAATTGGATTGAATACACATTAGTTGGAGCTAAAAAAAAAGAAATTGGACAGGTGCCGAATTCTAGAGTCCAGAGTAGCGCGTCGCGCTACCTGTGGCACTAGAACCAGAAGCCCAAATTTTCAGCGTCCAGGATAGCACGACGCGGTGCACAGGCGCCCAATCTCGGGAATCGTCCTATTTTGACTAGGAGAAGATTTTTGTCGGTCCTAGACGCCCCAAACTTATATAAAAAGAGTCCTAAGCCTAATTTGGAGGGATCTAACATACGTTGAAGGAGAAATCAGATACGGGAACACAAACCATGCATGGAGGAGGCTTCCAACTAGTTTTTCTTCCCTTCTCTTCCTTTAATTTCATAGTTTATTAGTTCTAGAGTTGTGGGTGCTACATGAATGTTGTAGTTTGAAGCTTGAATTATTCTTATTATTAAATCATATTGATTTATTTATTTAATCTTGTGCTTAATTATTTGATTGCTTAATCACCAATTGCATACTGTCTAGGAATCTAGGATTGAACTCGGAAGAGAGAATTCTAGATTGCATATAAGATTGAGTAGAGCAAGATCTTGAACCTGAGCATCAGGAACAAATTTGCGGTTAGGATTGGGATATACCTAATCGTGCTTGGTTATTATATAAAAATTATTAATGTG